AAAACATTTGACAAAATTCAACATGTAACCATGATTTTAAAAAACTCTTAAACAAGCTAGGATTTAAAAAGAACTTCTATAAGGGTACCTAGGTGGCTCAGTCCCCTGAGCATCCAACTTCAGTTCAGGTCATGATCTCACAGTTCGTGGGTTCAAGCCCCGCATTAGGCTCTGTGCTAACAGCTCAGCGCCTGGAGCCTGCTTCAGATTCTGTGTCTCCCTCTCTTTCCGCCCCTCCCCCCCCTTGAAAATAAATAAATGTTAATAAAAAATTTTAAAAAAGAATTCCTATAACTCGATAAAGGGCAGCTTCAAAAAACATCATACACAATGGTATGAATTTTTTATCCCTAATATCAGGAACAAGGCAAGCATGCCCACACTCACCACTTCTACTCAACATCAAATTGAAGGTCTTAGTGAAATAAGGAAAAGTAAGAAAAAGCATGAAATTGGAAAGGAAAAAGTAAAAATATTTCTTTTTTAAAAAAAATGTTTATTATTTTTGAGAAAGACAGTAAGTAGGGGAAGGGGCAGAGAAAGAGGGAGACAGAGGATCTGAAGTGGGCTCTGTGCTGACAGCAGAGAACCCGACGTGCGGCTTGAACTCACAGACCCTGAGACCATGACCTGAGCCAGAGTCGGATGCTCAACCGACTGAGCTGCCCAGGCATCCCGTAAAAGTGTTTCTGAAGTGATAATGATTGCTTATGTGAAAAACCCCAAGGAACCTACAAGAAAACTAATAGGTGGATGTAGAAATGCCGCAGGATACAAAGTCAATGTACAAAAATCAATCATGAGCAATTTATACATACTAGCAATGAACAATCTGAAAATAAAATTTAAAAAACAATGCCATTTTACAATAGTGTCAAAAAGCATCAAATACTTAGGGATAAATTTAATGAAGGATGCATAAGACTTCTACACTGACAACCATAAAACATTGCTGAAAGCAATCAAACACCCAAATAAATGCAGAAAGTATGCCATGCTCATGGATTAGAAGGCTCAATATTGTGAAGATACCATTTCTCGTAAAATTGGTCCACAGAGTCAACACAACTCCAAATAAAATCCCGGCAGACTACCTGAGTTCAAGACTCATTATAAAAGCTACAGTAATAAAGCAAGTGTGGGTTTGCCAAAAG